ACTGACAGGGGGCAGCAACCGACTACACATCAGAATCAGAATGAATCTTGACTTATTATTGGGTTACATGAAAAAACTTGAATGTAATGTGAATAATACAACTGCGAACCCCGCAATATAAACATCAACAACTTAGCATTGCAAGCACATTCTTTAAAACCTAAAATGTTTTTACAATAATCAAGATACAATTTTTCGATATCAGCACATTTGTGAGTACCCAAAATTTCACAAGTAAATAAAATACTTCCAACATAAGAGTCAAATAAATCGAACACAATACTAATATTGGCGTTCATATGCATGTACCTTCATTTTTTTATCGCAAAGCAAAAAGTGCCTTCCGTCCTTATTCAACTTTACATTCAATCACAAAATTGTATTTATTATTTAAAAAGAGTACTGAGGTTACAAAATTGCTCCACCACTTCAATGGTTGACTTAAGCAATGATCAATATATGTGCGTGTATTATGGTGGAATATATATCGAGGGTGAGAAAATGGTTGCATCCTAAGTTGATTATTTTCCCAACATTTTCGAATCCGAGTTATAATAGAAACACATGTTGATTATATCTGATCTACCGAGAAAGTAACGAAAGACTTGTTCGTGTCTACCTCAGTGTCCAACTAGATATTCTAATGTTTTAAATTAGGCTGTACTTTTGAGCGCGCTAGCATGTGCCACGTGATGCCTATATATGTTCGTATTGCATAACAAGCCGCCGGCTTCTATCATGTATAACCCTGTGAGCAGTCATCCTGATAATTTATCATTTTCAGTCGTTGCCAGTTGGTCGAAAGACGATAAAAATAATAAACACTGACGTCAAGCATTATGCCAATTGTTTATTTCAATGAATCAAATCCACCAATGTATCGACATCGCTCGTCAACACATGAAATCGGCATTTGACAGATTTACCAACCCTTTTTCAATTCACCAGAGTGATACGTTCAGCGGAACATTCTGACCGTGAGTTTGACAGGTTTAACGTAGATCTAAATCCTAAATAGAATCAGTTTTTGTCTGCTTGTAAATCTGTTAATATAAACAAAATTAAATGGGTGTACCCCCATTCGACAAAGGGAAATTGGAAAATAATACATGCATGCGCAGACGTCATAGAATGTTATATTTAATGTTTATCATGATGTATCATAAATTTCTAAAAACAAAAAAATAAGTTTTCTTTTTTCTAAATTTCCATTTATCAGTATTCTGTTCTTATCTGCGTAGGCCATTAACTGATCCTGAGAACAATACAAGATCATCAGCATACATGATGAGGAATAACCAAACCTAGTTAACTTATAACAGAGACTAACCTCTATAAACCAAATTGTGCTTCTGTTCATAAATCATGCTCTGTTCAAAGATTAAACAAACGTTTATTTAAAATAGAGGTGAATATTTTACATAAACAACTCACTAGACTGATACCTCTAAAGTTAGTTGGATCAGTCTCATCCCCGTTTTTTTATGTACAGGTCCACTTAAAATAGTTGACCATATATCATAGTATAGTATGCACATAAAAAGCAAGATATAAGAGTACACTCCCTTTTATCAAGCGCTCAAACAAAACAAAATGTACAATATCACCGTCTTATATGACGTGTCAAACGTAGCTATAATTGAAAATCTTGTGATATATATATATTTTACATGTATGGGTCAAAGAAGTAATATAGACGGTAAAATTCCATATAAACTTGTCCACACTGTTGGAATGACTTCTTTGTCCCATATTGTACAGAAACCATTTTCGTTATATTCAGAACTAATTATTTATATTCAAAATCTTGTAATTTACATTGGAAAACTTGTAATATATATACATTGTATATTATTTATATTGTAAAACTAGTATGTTGTATTCTTAATCTCATGACTTGTACATAAACCATTTTTGTTATATTTAGAACTAGTTATTTATATTCAAAATTTTATTATTTACATATTCGAAAACTTGTGATTCATTCTTAAATAACTTTTTTTATTTATAGTTAAACTTGTGAATGATTAATTGATATTTGTATTCTTAATCAATCGTGAGGTTTGTTTTTCAAAGTCTTGTGTTTTATATTCCACAAAACTATGTTATTCATAATCGAAAACTTGTGATAATATGAAATCTGACGTCGTCGCCTATTCTTTGTAATGACATTTTCAATGGACAGGACATATAACCTGTAAAGTGAAAGTAACGGAAAATGTACGACGCCTCATTGTTTGTTTACCTGTTACTTATACATAGTGTGTGTGTTGTTGTGCATTTTCTATACGGCCTGTTATGAGTTGTATTTGTTTTATTTATTTTTCTATAATCGAGCATGCCTTCATACCTGATAATTATAATTATGATATATAATAGTCTGCAGCAAATCGAACAGGACCTGTTATATCAGTGTTAAATCTGCAAAAAATGGTGGAAAAAGGAGTATTTTGTAATTAAAAAATAAGGAGTCTCTTAAATTGCTTTTTGTGTTAAATTAATAAGTTAAAGCAATTTTACTAATTACTATTTTAGTCAATTCTGCAAACATTCATACATATCTGATAACACACATGGAAGAAATTGTATAAATGTATCCTGCAAATTGCCAAAACCGCAAAACTCGCTTGAAATCACGTATAATGACAAATTGGTATCTTTGACGGATTATAACACAAAAACAATCAGACGGATATATGATTCTTCTTGTGTTTTCTGCTATGCCATTTACTCCCTTTTCCAAAAATGTATATCAAAACCCTCGACATGTTCTATGCGTTACCTCCCTTGAACTATACTACACAGACGATAAACACTGACGTCTTGCTTGATACCAAACGCGTATATCAACCAATCAAATCATCCGGTCTATCGGCATCACTCGCAAACACTTTAAATCATTATTTGACAAATTTACAAACGCTTTCTCAATTCATCTTCAATGTAAGTTAGACGGAATATTCTATCGTCCAATAATATACACTATTTTATCAATGAAAGTGTAAATGGTATAGCTTTTTTCAGACACAATGTTTTGTATTTCACACTGTGGTAGTATAAGTTACATGTACTTGTATAACCTTATTAGCCAGAACTCGTTTCTGATAGGAACCCATGGGTTATTACCCATTAATCAAATTGATGAATGGAAACATAAATGAGTTCCAAACACGTTGCCGCCTTTTTGCTATGGTAACATACAATTAATCCGACCTCTACGTCGTTTCGTCACCATTGCTACTCGGTTCAGGTTTCCGAGAACCAAATAAAACATGAATATGGAGTAATGATGAACAATGGTTTTCCGAAAATATAAAACGCATTTAAATAACAGTAGTATGTAATTAATATAAGCAATCTCACACTCCATGTTAATGCTTACGTCACGTGAAATATATCTTTAAGCTCAATATACTCGAGCAATCTGATACATTCGATGAAAGAAAACAGAATTAAAACGGTAAAATTTAAAGACTTACATACACGTATATGTCATTTATAGTAGTCGTAATGCTACATAATATTGGTAACTGTTCACATTTTGTTCCTGCAACAAAATTCTAACAATATATTTAATGGTTTGAAAATGATTAATGACTGAATGTCAATGGTGTTCCCTCTGTTAATTCAGTGACACTGACGAGATCGTTTCAAAAGCCAGATTAACAGGCTTATCTGATATGTCTGTTGCTCAATGGCTATTCAAGTTCATGCTTTCTATTTCCTAATGCAAAACAGCCTATGGGTTACATAGAAATGCTTATATAATACAAAACAGTCATATTGCAACGTTCAAGATAGCAACAATTCCATATCAGTATTTACCACACAACATTGAATACATAATTCAGCAATATCACTACGAGAGGGGTTTCCTTTTGACTGCAGGATACCGTAAATAACTACCAAATCGACTTAATGATTTTTCCCTTACAATAATTTGGGGTTTTCCCAAACAAACGTCCATTTACAAAACGAAGATTCTTGGTTAATAATAATAAGTTTATGTCCTTTTACATGACAGAGAGTCTTTGTGAATAATAATAAATTGTAAGTTTACGTCCATTAACAGGATGACGATTCTTGGTTAATAATAATATATTGTTAGTTAACGTCCTTTTAAAGAACGCACAGCTTTTGTTAATGCTATTTTCTAAACACACGTCCAATTATAAAACTACTAATGCTTTCATCTACGTAAACATTGTTTACATATTCTTTTATTTATTTTTTCTCAATGTAATTCTTCTGATTTCCAAAAATGGTACATGAATATTAATATTTCCTATTTGTCTTGTTTGTTTATTTTTAAAATATTTTTAGTGAGTAGTGAATGGTGGTGGTGGTGGTGG